AGTGGACTTTGTTCGAGAGACGAGATGACACACCGCTCGACTCTGGATGTGTGCACTAGGAATGCGCAAAGCCCGGCCCCGGGCTACGGGTCCGCGATTGACCGCGCGCCGGTCCGACGTTTCCGCAGGGCTCCGCACCTCGGCTCCGTCGACCTGTATTTATGAGTCATGCTTCCGAAGCGAAACGCCCGCTCGATACGCATCCAGTCCTCCGATCGATAAATATAAATTTCACTTGGGAAGTCGTTAAGCCTTCGTTAAGGGGGACAAAGAGTCGCCGAGGTGGGTGGGGACAAATAGGTGTATTTAGCGGAGATAAGGGGTCCTCCGTTTAATGCGATTACCGCCCGCCCGACCCGAGCGCCCAAGACGCTCGGTGACTCACGACGTCGAAGACAAAATATAATCTGACCGACATTCGAAACTTCGGTCACCTTCGCGATAACCGCTGGCCCTGTAATTCCAGTTTAAGGTTCTCCCCGATATAGGTACCGCGCGGGCTCACCTACACTTCCGCCGCGCCTGTATCGCTCGTATATCCGCGCCGCCCCGAAGTCGACACGGTTTTCCCTTTCGGTGTTTCTTTGGGATTTCACCGTTGACTTTGGACGTCTCGCGGAGGGCGAGGTCTCTCTCCCTCCCTCTCTCCTTCCCTCGCGGGAAAGTTTTCCGCGCTCCGGCGGGGCAAACTGTTGCTTAGATCGTTATCGCCCGTCGGAGGCAAGACCGCGGAGGGTGAAAATCAGCCTGGCCCGGTGGAATTAGGAACGACCGTCTGCTCCGGATTCCACGGGGTTTCCTCCCCGCGGGACGAGCGCGCTCGCTCGCGGATTCTTCCCAATTTGCTCATTGGCGCTTAAAGAGCGCTCCGAGGGCGCGAAGGGACCGTCACAAAAGCGCCGCCCGCGGAAGGTCGCCGTCACCCTTGCAACCCTGACCCCGAAGCCGAATTTACGAAAGCGAGGGGCGAGATGGCGGAAGAAAGAGAGACCTCCTTGATAACGATAAGACCTCGCGCGGCTAGGAACTCTTGTAACTCCCGCGAGAGCGCGCGTTTCGCGTTGTTCGACAAACCGCGGAACCGCCGCGGAGGGTGCGCGGCCTTACTTTTACCGCCACCCTATCGATACTCAAACGTCTTCTCGCGGATCTATCCTACAGGCGAAGTTGCAGTCGAAACGACGCGGATGTCTCCGTGGAGCGACGCGCGTAGTCTCTGCCCGCGAAATGGGACGATTTTTATTTTACTGACGTATATATAGGGAAGCGTTAAGGCAACGATCGCAATGCGGCCACTGGCTTTCGAGAAACTCGGGGGAGAGGTTAGGATAAGAAAATGGGACAAATGGTGTGAAGGGGTTTTGCGGAAAAGGACCTAGGCTTCGCGTTTCGACTTCTCTCCGGTTGTAATGACAGGGTCATGAGTTCCCTTTTAACTCTTAGACATATCACTTCGGACAAGGTGGATCTACTTGTAGATTGAGAAATGTACAAACTCTGACAAAAAAGGGACATTTACAAATATTACAAAATTTCACCCCACTTTTAGTACATAAGTTGCGGGAGACGTTACGTTTATTAGAAATTTCCAAATGCACTTATAATTTAATCACATCACGTGACGAACTTTGTGAAATTGCTTGGGAAAATTAATACACCTATGTACTGAATGTACGACACATTTTGTAAATCTGTTGCAAATATGTTACAAAATTGATATACCATGTCTGTATGTAACTTCCAATAAAAATATTAGAAAAATTATAATGTTTCCGTTTAATAGGGTAAAACGTTGTACCAAACGATTCTTTTCTTACCGGGCGAGTAGCTCCCCTGGTTCAGATATGCGCGCGTGAAAGTTACAAACAGTGCCGCGTACTGACCTGGGAAAATAGTACGAAACTAACTTCGGCGGAAAACTCGCACGGTAAAAAAGTGGGATCCGAACCTCCCGAAGAACCTCGTAATCGAGACTCCGACAAGCATCGATTCGCCTCTCAAACCATGTCGTGTCAAAAGATGCCACAAAAGACGTCGCGAAAGATACTTGTCCCGACACGCGTTTCTAAAATCCGCTAACATCAAGCTCAAACAATAGAAAATAATATAAAACACGGCAAAATATTAAATCCCGTTAAGGGGATGTGAAAGTGGCATCCGAAAGCTCAATCGTTCATAAAACTTCTCTACGAACTGGGTGTCTCAAATCGTTTCATACTTTAAAACGCGAATATAGGGACCCTAAGGTAGGTCCTGAAACTCGTGAAATATCATTTTTTATGAACTATTTTCAAAATACCTACAAACAAATTTCGTGGTACAATTCACGTGGTAAAGTTTCAAACTATTCGGTAAATCGAGTCGGGAGAAAAGTTTCATAAACAGAGCCTGTTCGATGCCACTTTCACATCACCTTAACGATTACACATTTTGCGTACAAGTTACGCATCGCGCGTATGTATTCATTAGCAACATTTATGCCAAACTGTAGGAGACGTTTTGGAAACGTCCTCAGGGTTTAATTGCCTCGTTAGAGACCGTCCGGTGGTGTGGTGGTCGAACGAGTCCTCAGGATCGACTTTGTAACGTACCTTCCGATCTTGCCGTACTCCCCGTCCCAGGATTTCGTATTTCTTGTCGCGGTCTTTTTTCCACACTTCCCCCCGGGGGCGCCGTCACTTCTCGCGGTTTTATCCTTCGCGATGATCCAGCGGTAAATACGGGAAAAAAGGAAAGGCACCCGCGCGTAGATGGCGCGGCGGAAAGGAGGCCGTAAACGCAGCGGCGGGCCTATCGATAAAGCCGCCGCGGCCTCGGCCCGGTGCACAGGTGGAACTCGTGAAACCCGCGGAACTCGCGGGACGAGGTCGCCGTCGTAAAATGCCCCCGGGTATGAGCGCAGGGGGGTTTTACGAGGCCGAGGAATAATTCGCCCGCATCTCCCCGACTTGCCTCGTCGTTACCGAATCCTGGGCCCGTCCCTCCGTCCCGGTCGGGCCTCCTAGGGCCCAAGAAGGGAAGAGGTACCGGTCCTTCCGGTTCATCCGGCTCTCCATCCCGAAACCTACCGCAACGTCTGCGGGGCCCAAACAAAAAACAACGCTCGGCCCTCTTAACGATAACTCCGATTGTTCTCGTTGTCTACGTTGCCGAACGCTGCCGGATGACACGAGGAGACATCCTACGAGGGATAGGGAAGGGATACTATATCTTCCGGAATGAACAGGAGATACCGACGACTAATGGGCAATCAATTGCGTAATTTTCTACAATTAGTGGACGATAACTAACGCGGTACGGCTAATATCGTTTAATATACTTAGTACAATTAATCACAGTGGGGTGGAGATAATCGCGCCTTCGCGTTTCTTTGGTACACGCCAGTTCGAATATCGAATCCTCGAGGCTGTTCCCTTTAGTCAAAATGTAAACGGTGCGGGTTATCGTCGCCAATACGATGGTACTTTGTGCATCCTCCATGGATCGCCAAATTATCGAAAGATTTCCGCATCGAAGTGGATTATCACCCGCGTTCGACGAGGGGATCTTCTTTGAAGGGATCCGCAACCTGCGCGTCCGTCCGTTCGGGATAAGTGGAGGTACCCAGGGTCCAGGCAAAGCGGTTACGCGGGTATTTGGGTCGAAGGAGATCCGGACCGGTAATGCCGCGGGCCAGGGACGCATCTCTAGGGACCGCATCTTTTCGCCGCCGTCCCTCGAATCGATGATAACCGAAAAAACGACGACAGCCCAACGTGGACGTAACGCCGGTAGTCACGCTAAATTCGACCTCGGCCTCGTCCTCGCGCCGGTACCCTTGCCAAACTGCGACCGATTCCCCGAGGCGGAGGCGAGGGCAGTCGACGCAGTCAGCGGAAGCCCCTCCGGGCGGGGAAATCGCGCGATACCGACCGCGCCGTAAACCTCCGGCCTATCGTTCCCGGCTCGGGCGCGTCCGGTCGGGAGCGGTCCGCGGACCGGCGGGTCGTCGCACGGGCAAAGCGATCGAATCGAGTACCCCCTAAGCCCCGGTCGAATCTCTCTAATACACCTACGTGTACTTTACGCAGAGAAAAAATATCAAAATACCTGACAAACTCTTAGAAACAATAAAAATAATGTTTAATTATTTTCATTCATAAGATTTAGGGAAACATCGTAATCTTCGGTGTCCCAAAATGATTACTTTATCTAGGATAAATATGTTAATAATTCTCGCTTTCCAATAACTTAATATTTATTTTCGACTTAATCGGACGATATAAATTGTGTATTAATTAGAGAAAAAGTGACGCGAGAAAGAAAGTATATAAAGCTTAATGATTTTACGTTAAATTTATACCTATAATTTTATGTACCATGATAAACAAATTCTCACTCGCCCTGCATATATAACAAATAGTTTGGAGTCCTGTCGTGTACGTGCATTTTATGACGCCTTCCTTCCCTTCCCGAAAAAGTTGATACACAAATACCACTTCATTGATCATACCTGCATTGCATATATTATTTTAATTATTGATTCTATTCTTTAGATTATTCGAGGTCCGCGGACCGGCGGGTCGTCGCACGGGCAAAGCGGTCGAATCGAGTACCCCCTAAGCCCCGGTCGAGTCTCTCGAGCACGGCCGAGCGCGGTCGAACGCAGTCGACGCGGTCGACGGCGGAGTCGGCGGAAGCCCCTTCGGCCGACGAGTGCTGGCGCCCCTTGGCCTCTCGCGACTCCCCTCGCCGTTCCCGGGCCGGACCGGGCCGATCCCCGTTCCCCTTCGGACCCTCGGTGCCCCGCGATGTGCCGACGGTGACAGACCCTACCTTCCCGCCGCCGCCTCCGCCGCCACCGCGGCGGGTGAGAGGGTCGGCGTGGGTTGGGTTGGGTCGGATCTCGCGCAGGGAGGCGCGGAGGGGGAGCGCCGTTGGGCCGCCGGGAGGGGCGCGGCGGCAGGGGGGGAGGGCGCCGTCGCGTCGCCACTCGCCAGTTCGCCGTGAGCGCTCGCCGTGCGAGGACGTTTCGTCATCTCCCTCGAGCCGAGACCCGACGAGCACGAAGCGCCGAGTCGCGCGCGCCCTGCCGAGCCCGAGTCGTGCCGGAAGGTCTCCTCGACCGACTCCCGAGGGACTCCCGAGGGACTCTCCTGGACTCCGGCGGTCGAGGCGAGCCTCGCGTGTGCACAGTGCGAGGGATTTTATCCTGGCGCCGATGGGCGTCGCGGTCGCTCCTCCTCCGTAAACTCGGCTCGCTCTCGAGGTCGTACCCAAGGGATTCGGGACAAGGGGACGCCCTCGTGACCGCTCGAGGTCGTCCAGTGGACCGGGATCGCGCGGATCGAGGTTAGGTACGCCGAGTGCCGGTGCGCCATGCGTTGAGGATCGCCGATCGCCGGCTGAGACGTCCACGCAGAGCCGAGGGATCGCTCCAGGAAACATGTCCGCCAAACGGAAGGCCACTGCCATCATGCAGCACCACAAGGTGAGCCGACCTAACCTTCCAGACTCAGACGCGCCGATTATTTACCGCCCTCCCGGGCGCTCGTTCCTCGGGCCCTTTGGGGGTGGCTGGTCCGTTCGATCTCTCGATGCGTCCTGGTGATCGAGTCCTCTTCTCGTATTTCGAGGACTCCTTTTAACGGGGGGAACCTTGCTGGCGGGTTTTGCCGATCAGGGATATCGGAAGGCCGTTGGCTTAGCGCGCGTTGGCAAGGTGAGAGCGACCTAACCTCTACGGCCGACGTGCGGTTTATTTACGGTCTTCGGAATCGTCACCGCTTACGGTTGTTCCTCGTGGATGACGCGTAATTGCACGTTTGGGATATTACGCCCCCCTTTTATTTTTTTTTTCTCTGCTCTTTAAACCTCCTCGTTGGTCTTCCTAATGCTATCGAGGGCCGCCTAGGGAATTTATTCCGGCCACGAGGCGCGAGGGCAGTGGGCGAATGCGAATCGCGCGGTGTGTCGTTTTTGCAAACCGGGAACATGTAAATTAGTCCTCGGAAGGCCAACCTCGACTCGCGGGATCTCAAGGTGAGACTTAACTCGTCTCGCGGTGCCGCAAGGAGTCCTCGGAATTTCGATAATCGACCCTTACGTTTCCATCTGGGCCTGGGCGTATTGCCGCGAAATTCAAATGTCGTTTAATCACGTAAATTCCGGGATTTACTTAAAATACCTCGACGTTAAGTACCTTATCTCGAGGTGAGATTAAATTCGTCCAGCCATGCCGTAAGGATCGTTTGGATCTTTGAAAATCGATTCTAACAGCTGTTGCTCGTATTTCATCCTGGGCATGTTAATGCGATATAATTTAAATTGAACTTAATGACCGGAATTCCGGGATTTACTTAAGATCCCTCGATGTTAAATGTTTTATCGGAAGGTGGAACTTAATTCATTCTACCGGAGGGATCATTCGGGACCCTGAAAATAGGTCCCTACAGTTATCGGTATCATTTAATCCTGCAAGCGGTACCGCGTACAATTTAAATAGCACTTAATGATATCAATTCTGCAATTTATTATAAATATCCTGACGTTAGGTGTTATACCGAAGCGTTTGTTTGGGCATTTAGCATTCGTAGATCGTCGGTCAATTTGCTCCCGTTGTCGAATTCGGATGGACCTGCGCCCTGGAGATGTACGACCGCGCGCGGGTTGATCGCCACCGTAATTCCGCTCCCTCTCGGAACGGCGGTCAGATGTAAATTAATAATCGCGCGTATATGCCGGCAAAACGACAATCTTCACCCTAGGCCATTACATCACCGAAATCTGCCGAGCGATCGGACTCGCCGTTTCGACGTATCGGTATTGGACGCGAACGGGTTAATTTCAGCGGTGCGCCCGAGCGATCGCGATTGTCGGCCTGGGTGCCGGTGAGAAATGTAATTATTCTCCGGCCCTGATAAATTAGCCAATCAGATAGCGGGGGTTTAAAAGGTAATCGGAGATTAATCGTCAGCCCCACCGGAGCGATTTGTTACGCGACCGTTATTAAATGGCCGCGTCCAATTAGACCCTCTATACCGCCCTTGTAACGAAACGACCAGTCCAAACATCCGAAGTTATTAATACAAAAAGAATAAAAGGGGGAGGGGGGGGGGGGAACTCCGCTCGATTATGTACGCCCATCTTGACTTTTGCCGATCTCGCGGACGAGCCGCCGATAATTAGCGGAGTAATCGAGGGTATTTCATTTTTCACTCGCGTTGCGCGCCCCGCTCGTAACGTGTTTCGGGTTACGTGGACTTCGATTTGTTCCCGTGTTCGTTTAATTAAATTGCAACGCAGGTAGCGCCCCCCCTTTTTTTTCTGGAGCGCGAGTCATCGGGAGGACAGGTGCGTTCTACCTGGGGCGGTCGCCAGGTAGAACCTGGGGGTCCCCTGACAGGAAGGTGAAGGATCGATCACCAATTCGCGCGGACCTTATCGCGGAGTCGCTTCTTTTCGATGGCGCGTGGGGCGATCGCTTATCGGGCCGCGCGATATCCGCGGGTGGTTTTTTTTATCTCGGCGCTGCCCCACTCGATCGGGCTCGAACTCGATAGGAATCCTTGCGTGGAGAGCGCGGATTCTCGGCTCGAATCGCGGCTTTCTAGCCGCGCGTTAATTAATGGATGCGGGACGATCCTTCTCTCCTCGCGTCCCGTCCCGGGTCTTTCTTTCCCCGTCTACGCACCGGCGCGGATTTCGAGGTATCCGACTTTCTCCGCAGCCTCCGGTCATTTCGGACGGCAGGGGTTTGCGTTTCCTCTCTGATCAGAAATTATCCCCTCGGTTGGTCGTCGCCAAATCGATAAATAATCAATGTACTAAGAGTCGATCGCTCCAGACGACGGGCGCCGTCCACGTCGGGATGGAACTTTTAATTTTAATTTCGTTTAATCTTGCACGGGTGCATTTCATTTACCACGATATACCCGATTTATTTGGTTCGAGGAATCGATCCTTGACGAAGGGAAATTAGTCGGCGTTAATGAGGGGCTCATCCGCGTTCAAAGGGCCTTCCGATGAAAGGTGCGTTCTTTTTAGGAAATTAATATCGGCCCGGCCCGATGGGAGGAACTCGTCAAAGGGAGCTTCTCTATAGCGTTCCTCGGACTTCCGCTCCTCCATTCGCGCCCCTTCCCGGTCCGCCCGCGCCCCCCGATGCTCCCGTGACGCCTGCTCCAAGGAAGTGTAAATACTGGTTTGGCTAACGGGCGGCACGCGGTTTAAATCGATCAAATCGGACTCGAACCGCGAAAGTTGAGTTAGAGTTGAGGTAGGTCCGGGCGGTCGCTCTTTCCGTCCTTCTTCGGCCCTCCACGGTATCCCCTTTCTCTCTCTCTCTCCCTCTCTCTCTGTCTACCAGATCGTTCTCTCTCTACCTCTCTCTCCGTCCCTTCCCCCGCGCTCTCCCTCCTCTTCTTTCGCTCTTTCGCCTCCTACGCTCGTCCTCTCTCCGTCTCTCTCCACCCGGCGGCGCGGCGGTCGCTCCGTCTCGCTCCCTCCGGCGCGGTCCTCGCTCCCTCTTTCTCCCTCCCTCGCGCTCGTTCTTTTGCGGTCCAACAGGTTATATTTTTCCAGAGCATCTCTGTCTCCCTTTCCCTCCCTCCCTCTCTTTCTTCGCCGTCTTTCACCGGTTCTCTCGCCCCCTCCCTCCGGCCTGGCGCCCTTTCTTTCTCGGTCCCTGTCTTCCTTCCTCGTCTCTCCTCGCGTCCCCTTTGCCGGCCCCTTCTTCCCCTCTGTCCCTCCTCTTTTTTCCCTTTATCCGTTTCGGGTCGTGTCTCCCTTCTTCCCCCTTTCGCTTCTTCTTTCCGCCCCCTTCCCACCCTTTAGAGCTCATTCCTTTTTCTTTTTGATCACGAAAAGAAAAGATTAGGGGTATTAGCTGTAATGCAGCCTGATTCGGCTATACTTTATCGTCCGAATGGCCTCTGGTACTGTGTCGGTACCGGCGCTCTTGAGGTACAGTTAATCGTTCGTCCTTAGTACAGCTTTAACCACCGTACACGTGTTTATTTACGATATGTCGCCTCTACGTTCAGGAGATTCTTTGCTCCTTTGCGTATCAATGACGTTAATTAAGTCGTTATAGTTGTACCGGGCTGTTCGGGTGTTTTACGATATAGTTAAGTCAATCTATTTGTGAGAATGTGAACTTAAATGTCACTCGGTGTATATTTTTCGCAAAATGATTAAATGTTGTTAAGTGATGCTGGTAACGTAAAGATGAATCTAGGACAGCGGGTAATATCTCTTTGCCATTTCATTCTATGATTTTATAACTTTGTGACTTTAACGTTAATAACCAATTAATATTACTTACAAATACACGAAAGATTCGAATCAGCCAAATGAATGATTAAGATGAATGATTTCTCATAATTATGATGTAGTGTTGGTGAAATTGGGTACAAGTAGATGTTTCATTTTTGAATCCTTATGACGTGGTTTAATTTCTTAATATTTTTTATCATTCATTTGTACTTTACTAGGGTGACGTACAGTTTGACGGAAAAAATAGAATCAATAATTAAAATAATATATGCAATGCAGGTATAGTCAATAAGGTGGTATTTATATATCAACTTTTTTCGGGAAGGGAAGGAAGGCGTCATAAAATGCACGTACACGACAGGTCTTTAAATTATTTGTTGTATATGCAGGGCGATTGGGTACATAATTTGTTTATCATGGTACATAAAATTATAGGTATAAATTTAACGTAAAGCTTTATATACTTTCTTTCTCGCGTCACTTTTTCTCTAATTAATACACAATTTATATCGTCCGATTAAGTCGAAAATAAATTAAGTTATTAGAAAGCGAGAATTATTAACATATTTATCCTAGATAAAGTAATCATTTTAGGACACCGAAGATTACGATGTTTCCCTAAATCTTATGAACGAAAATAATGAAAAATTACTTTTTTCGTTCCTAAGAGTTCGTCGGGTATTTTTATATTTTTTTTCTCTGCGTAAAGTACACCTAGGTGTGTTAAAGAGCACGTTTAACCGCGGCCAACTTAAGCCGTCGAATTAAATTCTGCAGATGGCTGGAAGTATCGAAGTTCTTTTTCCTAGGTCCGCGAACCCCTTCTCTTAGCGGGAAGGCACGTTTCCGCCGTCACTTTCGTCTCTAACTTTATTATTCAAAACACCCGCGACGCGCATTATGCGGCGCATAATGAAGGAAAACAAACAATAACCGGGGAATAAGTAATAAGAAGAGAGGAAGAATTCCCATTCGGATAATGGGGAGCGTTCGAACGCCGGGTCGTTCGGATAACGGAGCGCTCGGACAATGGGGGCTCCGGATAATGGAGGCCGAGTCCGGCTCGGTCCTTCGGTCCCATCCTCGGAGGGTTTCGGCCGGATTTTCCAGTTTCGCGAGTCCGAGTCGAGGTCGGGCCGGGAAGTGAGACATCTTGGGGCCACGCGGCCGGCCCCGACGACGGCCGGGACCGCGGGGAAATTGCGTTAACCTCGT